ACAGAGACTGTGGGTGTAAGCACGTTTACAGAGACTGTGGGTGTAAGCACGTTTACAGAGACTGTGGGTGTAAGCACGTTTACAGAGACTGTGAATATAAGCACGTTTACAGAGACTGTGAATATAAGCACGTTTACAGAGACTGCGGGTGTAAGCACGTTTACAGAGACTACGAATGTAAGCACGTTTACAGAGACTGTGGGTGTAAGCACGTTTACAGAGACTGTGAATATAAGCACGTTTACAGAGACTGTGAATGTAAGCACGTTTACAGAGACTATTAATGCAAGCATATGTAGGGAGGGTATTATTATAAGCTCATGTAGAAAGGCAATCAGTTTCACACATATAGAGAGAGCATTAGCACATGGAGTGGAGTATGGAGTGAATCAACATAAGCCCATCTGGGTTGGCTATTAGTGCAAACAACAAACACGATAGTTTTGTACACTGGCGCAGCATGGCAACGTGGCTCCCTCTATGTGTATTACCTGGTTGAGTTTGCGGGAAAGGTCGTTGGTCAGAAACTCCTCCTCCTGTTCGTAGTTCATAGCGAGCGTCTCCTTCTCCTTCTTCAGCTCCTCGATCTTCTTCAGCAGTGTGTTACTGATATACTCCTCTTCCTGCTCTGCCTTCGCTTGCTGCTCGCGAAACACGAACGACCAAATTAGATACAAGAACGTGGAGGGGAGGGGTAGCCAGAGGGAAAAATCAGGGTCTCAGCATCTGAGCGAAGCGAGGATGCTGCGGGCGCGATGCGCCCTAGGGGGAGGGCCTTACCTTAAAATGGAGGGAATTTAGTCTGAAATGTTGAAAAGACAGGAAACTGATATGGTTTTATATTCTTATAATCACTGTTGTCAGTTATACAAGGTGTATAATATATAAAATTAGGCCGCCCTCATGCCGTCTAGCTATCAAATTTCATCCGTCTCATCCAAGAATAGGCCGTCCAAAAGACGGGTCTCTGGCTAACACACTGTGGGGAGGGGGGACTCACCAACAGTGTGCGCATCAATTGCTCAGTCTCGCTCTCACTGATCCTCCATAATTTCCAAAACAGTTATGTCAAAGCTATGCACTTTCGTGCATTTCTCATAGATCCGTGAACATCAAAACGTTCTTCTATTAACCATTCTGGCTGTAGTCATAGGGGACGGGCACAAGACTAGTTGCTTCTTGGTTGTGGAGCAAAAAATAATATATTGTGCAAAAAAAACATGATCAATAAGAGTTATCCCTTCCAACTAATTATATCCCACACATGGTACACTTCTTGAAACGTAAGAAAAGAAATGGCTCGGCAGTACATTACAAAATAGAGGCGCATTATTTTGCCCCAGCCCACCTAGGGAAATTTTCTCAGGCTATGTACTTGCCCTGCCTGACTTGTCATGATTGTCTAAAACTAAGTATATGTTCTTACTGTGGAAAACTTGTAGGGACATAACGCACAGCCACAACAAGGGTTATCTGTTGATCCGGTTAGGTTTTTTTTTGTCACCAGTGGTAATCGAGTGTTTACTGTACATATGGGCCCACCCACATACATCAAATATCGCGTCTTGCGTTTCTAGGCATTGGATATATGTAAACTGTTGTTATCGAATTGTCTCCAGCAAACATTTTATCTGCATGCTGTCAGCAGTGCCGTACCAGTAGCGATAATAACTCATCCAGGTAGATAAACATCAATAGGAATTAGGATACATGTATGTGTTGACCAATATCATATATGGCAATGGCATATGCTGTGCCATATGCAGAATAAATGTGACTGTGTTTTTTGGAGTGAACACATACTTTAAGGGCATATTTCTGACTTAGAACGCACGCGTGGCAAGCCGCGGCAAAGCAGGCAAGGTACGTAAACAACAATGTTGTGTTACACTGTTAGGATTTTGCAGTCAACCACTTACGAAAGACACGCTAGCTTTTCGGAGCGCTCGGTTTTCTTCGATTAAAGCCTTGCAGCGTAGTTCGTAAGTCTCCAGTTCCATTTTCAATACCATCTTTTCTTGCTGTAGTGATTCGATTCGCTTGGAAAGCTGCTCCTTCGAGGCAGGTAACGGCAGTTTTAGGCCGTCAACACTGCTGGAATCACTTTCACTGGCACTGTCCGCCATTTTCGAGATGTAAGCATGAGTGCGAGGGCGCTGCAGTCGTTTTGTTTATTTGTCACTTTTTCATGCAATTTTTTTTTCTATTTTACATATACATTCACAGAAAGATTATTATTTTCTTTCCTAGTGAACGAGAGCTAGCTGTTATTCTTAGATGAACCGTATATATTATGATATATATATTTTTGCATCATTCGATCTTCGTGTATTTATGAGTCATTGACATTGCGTGGAAGCTAGACACATAGTTTTGCCGTATATAGGCTTGGTACGTGCATGTAAACGCAATATTCACACATATGTGCGCAACTGCATCGACGAACTTTCTCGAAACTTTCGTTTCCGTTTTCCCTACGTATACCTCATCACATCATAACGCATAAAATCAAACATCATAAAAATTAGTCTTTAAAAATGGGTATATATATATATATCGAAAACGGAAAGATAAACGTATATATTATCTTTTTTTTCCACATCAAATTATTAATCGCTCGATCTTCTTAAATTGAAACAGAGACTTGAAAAACGATTCTGACAATTATCAGATCAGGAATAAAAATTTGTATTAAGATGTCCTTACTGAACATTGCCCCCACTATAGTAATATGCGATACAATATGCGCATGCGCTCCGACCGCGCACGTACGCACGCAGGCACGAACGTACGCACGCACGAACGTACGCACACACGAACGTACGCACGCACGAACGCATGTATCCGCGCACGAACGCACGCACGAACGCACTTACTCACGCACGAACGGTCATGCACGCACATACCCCCACATACCCTACGCACGCGCTCATATTTCTTGTCGAGCAAACATTGCGTAAAATTGTGTAACACCGAATATAAATACACCGTCAGGGGCGTAGGCTGACAAAACTCATAGGGAGGGGGAAATTTCCATGACTAAAGCCCGCCGCACACGTGAGTCATTTTACTCATTTGACGCATGCGTCATTTTACTTGAGTAAAATAACTCACGTGTGCTCCGGGCTTTAGATAAGTAGTTTTCATCAAGTGGACATTTGGAGCCATTTGCAACCATTTGGAACATTTGGAACATTTGGAGCTGGTCTGCAGGATTTGAAGAGGAGACGCGATGCGAGCAACGAGGTTGTGAAAACCCGGGTGGGGGGGGGGGGTCGGGGGCCAGCTGCCCCGGAAATTTTAATATATATATGTATATTATGTATATCATATATGTATATATGTATATGTATATATATATATAGCCGGCTGCACCCATCCCCAACTTGAATGAGTGCATAGTCTGTGCAGGACCCTACTAGCTGCATGAAGGTAATCATGCCACAGAAACACTCTTACCAGGTTTTCTTTTAGAATATTTCACTTTAAAATGAACTGTGTACAATAATGTACAAACCAGTGCACAAAATTGAATAAGTATTTATTGGTGATGAGTATGTATCATTACTTCCGCCATGGGGTTGGCAAGAGCCTGTTATGTTTTCACCGGCGTGTGTTTGTTGGTTTGTGCGTTTGTTTGCTTGTTTACAGCCTAACTAAAAAAGTTATGGACGGATTGTCATATAATTTTAAGGATAGGTCAGAAATGGGCTATCTTAGAACTTATTAGATTTTGGTGGTGATCCGGATCCAATTAATTAATTAATTAATTAATTAATAACATTTTCAGGATAGGTCAGAAATGGGGTAACTTAGAATTGATTACATTTTGGTGGTGATCCGGATCCAATTAATTAATTAATTAATTAATTAATAACATTTTCAGGATAGGTCAGAAATGGGGTATCTTAGAATTGATTACATATTGGTGGTAATCAGGATCCAATTAATTAATAAAATTTTTAGGATACGTCAGAAATCGGGTAACTTAGAATTGATTACATTTTGGTCGTCATCCGGATCCAATTAATTAATTAATTAATAAAAATTTTCACAGTGACAGAATTCAGCTGCCTTGGCGGAGGTCTGTGCTCTCCGAGTGCTCTAGTTAACTATTAGGCTTATTTTGTTATTTTGCTTCCGAATCTACCCTGCTGCTCCCCCCCGGCCATGCCGAGACACGTGAATCAATAAATCGAATAATTGTGATTAAACCCGGTCATCTTAGAACCCTGTTTCCCACCACCGCCCCTCATCTTAGAACCCTGTTTCCCACCACCGCCCCTCATCTTAGAACCCTGTTTCCCACCACCGCCCCTCTTCTGAGCACCGACTTTATTTCGGACGGCAACGTTTTGTATGTGCATTTGAAGCTAATAGAACGACGGTTAGTTGCGATGGTAACTAAAGCGTTGCCAAGGCGACACACGGGTGGCCGACATCCATATATCTTATTATTATTATTATATTATATTATATCTTCTTCTTCTTCTCGGGTCACTACACAACACTCGACGTAGCCACTGCAGCACACAGGACCTGGCACGGTGGTTGAAAGCCTCAATGTCTCCAGGTCTACAGGGCTCTCGTAATTCCAGGAGATGTCCCATAGTCTGGTCCTCCCCGCAGTCGCATTCGGTTGAGCCATCTTCAATGTATCCCCATTTCTGCATGAGTGTCCTGCATCGACCAATCCCTGTCCTGAGGCGATTTAGGCATAGCCAGGATAACAGGTGACTGTCATATATGCCAACGAATTGCGAAACACACGCTTGTATATACCAAATGTGTATTATTATATCATAATATCAGAAATACATCGTGTCCTATTTAACACCAACCAGACCTAACGCCTTATCTATATATTTATATATATTTATATATATATATCGGACGCGTAGCTACCGTAACGCAGATACGCAGTTGCGTACACATAATTTCACCAAACATTTTTTTTATTGCAGAAAGAGAGAAGGGGGAGAGAGAGGGCGAGAGACAGAGAGAGAGAAAGAGAGAGAGGGAGAGTCAGTCCGTCAGTCAGTCAGTCAGTCAGTCAGTCAGTCAGTCAGTCAGTCAGTCAGTCAGTCAGTCAGTCAGTCAGTCAGTCAGTCAGTCAGTCAGTCAGTCAGTCAGTCAGTCAGTCAGTCAGTCAGTCAGTCAG